GGGCAGCGGGCCGCGCACCGGCTGCGGCCATTGCAGGAGATCACCGCGGTGGAGCCGAGCCCGGGGATGATGGAGGTCGGGACGATGGTTCTGCACAGCGACGTCGGCGAGGTCACCTGGCGGCGGTACCTCCTCCCGGAGGACGAGGCCATCCCGCAGGACCTCGTCGTCGCCGCCTACACCCTCAGCGAGATCGCGCAGGGCGAGAATCGCAGGCGTATCATCCGACAGCTCTGGAAGATGACGAGGGGCGTGCTCATCCTCGTGGAGTTCGCCAACTTGAACAATTTTAACCTTCTAATGGAGGCGCGTGATACCATCTTGGAGGAGAAAGGCGTGGGGCTGTGGGATTGGCAGCCGACGATCGTGGCGCCCTGCCCGCACGAGCACCGCTGCCCTTTACGGCATTCCAAAGTCGGCGTCAAGCGTAAGGTAATGCGGATTTGCAGTACGGACGCACATTACCGATCGACCTTTATCGAGTCATGGGCTCGCGCCCTCCCCCTCAAGGTTGGAATTGAGCCGATTAGCTATCTTATTTTCGCGCGGAATGAGTTCGTCCCCGAACGTGCGGAGCGCCGGGCGGCGGAGGCCCAGCGAAATGCCGAAGCCGAAGTTCACAAGCGGGATGAAAAGCAGCGTGAGCTCTACGAGGCCGCGCTCAGCGTGAAGGACGTCGTTTTCGAACGTTTAAGCGACGAGGCGATGCATCGCCCGCAGACCGGGATCCCACCTAAACTTCCGCCGCTTCCGACGGCATCCGACAAAAGCGTGGAGCTTTCCAACGCCCTCGCGGAAGGCGCGACCAGCACCGCTGAGATCGGCCACATTCCAACGGATAAGCCTCGCCTCGTGCAGACGTCCGAAAGGCGCTTTAATAAACTGATTTTTCCACTTCAGTACCCCCCCGCGACGCATCGGTTTAATCGCGGCTTCGTCGACGCCGGGTATCAACGCCAGAGGGCGATTAAACCCTCCGAGATGCTTGTCGTGCGCGAGGAGCTGGAAGATATGCGGCGGCGAGTGATGAAAGTTTCCCCCAAATACCTTCGCGTGGTGCGGGACCCGACCTGTCGGGGGAAAATTCAGGCTGTTTTTTGCACACCGGAGGGGGATTTGATTAGCGGGCGTGTCTACCGCCGCTTTTACGGCGATCGAAATCGGGTTAGTCTGCATAGTACGATGCGCTGGCAGCATATTGGCGGGTGGAAGCTGCTTAAGCGCATACGCAGCGGATCCCTCTTTCCGCACGACGTCCCCATGTACGCGATTAATAAGTACCCGCAGGTCGACTTCCCGAATACGCTCGTGGATTCGAAATATTCCACGGTGGAGAAGACGGCGATGCAGTATAACGACGCCACCACCGCGATGGATCCCTCGGAGCGGGAGGAGGATCTCTCGCGCGAGGAGCGAAAGTCTCGCGAGCGCCTTTTACGCGATAAAGAGCTCGAAAATAAGGTCCAGCAGCAGTTGGAGGAGCTCTTTGGTTCTTCTATGACCAATAAAGACCTCTCCGGGCATGTTGACGCCCGTCGGGAGATCTCCGCGGAGATGTGGGCAGAGGCCGTGCGAAAAGCACGGATTAAAACCATTCGTCAGACGAAAGAGACGATCCCTCTCGCGGCCAAGATTCGCACGGTGAAAAGGAGACTGGAGGTTAAACGGCGGAATCCGAAAATTGAAATGCGATTAAACCGCCAGCGGGCGATGTAAAAACATATTTCTGGACTGCATCAACGTATCGATAAAAAGGAGGCAATCATTCTTGTCCCCTTTTCATTTTTTTTTTCGACTTATCACTCTTCTTAATTGTTGTCATTCCTTTAGGTGTTTGAACGATGCTAAACTTAGTTACTCACATTTTTAAAAATTCGAATGTGTACAGAAACTTGTAGTTCCTGTTATAAGAATTGTCATAAAATAAAGCCCAAAGAAGTTTATTATTTCATATTTTATCTCTATTCATGCTTCCCATTCTGTGGGCATTTCATTCTTATAATCTACTTTTAGAAAAGACAATATGGTTTAGTAGTCCTCAATTCTATTATTCAGATTATTTTTTTTCTCAGATCTTTCCCTTTATTGTATAACTATCCTAAGTAATGGATCAAAAAATATTCAATTCAAGAGGTCCTAAATAATAGGTAAATTGACGCACTGGAAGAAAAATCAACATTTTTTAAAAAATATTTTTCATTTTTCTAACAAACAATTTTCTAGTTACTTTATTGGTTTCTTTCTCTGGTTCTGATTACAATATTATATTATGGTGTCCATGAACAAAAAAAGGACTATGTCCAATGGCCCGTTTTTATGCAGATGCACGGCAAACAATATGTAATTTTAGTCTAGTCTCTGGTTTATCGTCTTCCCCTACATATATATATATATATATATATATATATGATATTATTATTAATGACAGTCTTCTCGTCTGGCTCTTTTAGGTATTTGTGTACAACGACTATACCATCCAAAATAGGGCTTGGCTCTTTTCGGTATCGGACATGGCATTCGGAACCTGATTTTAAGCCTTCTGATTATGGACTTGACGCGCTGAAATAATTAAAAAAAGTGTGAAAATGAGTACAACTTAGTGGTATGGGTTTGTTTTAAATCCTGTTATGATGGCCTGCGCGGTGGATTAGGGATGGTTGATATTTGATTGTGCGGGTTTGCCTTTTGGCGGACTATTTTTTACTCTGAGAGGAAGCTTTTTCCATTATTTTTAGGACGGGATGGTTTGCCATCTCAGGCTAAAGGGCACACGCGCATCCTATCAGGTCCTTAAAGCATCATCAGATGATCCCTCCCGCGAGCCGGATCTCAGCAAATCCTATTCACGGGAATGATCCGAGAAATTCACAAATAGGGAATAATAAATATATAAAACCATGTTTTAGGTTGACAAATTATCCTATGAAGATGTCGCTTCTGGCGTAAAAATACATCATCTGGAAGTCTTTTCTCCTCCCTCATCATTTATTTTTCGGCGTCATTAGGTGTAGCCGGTGTTAACGATGTAATTTGCATTCAAGATATTAACCATCATGGGTAATAAAGTGAGAAACGACAAGCTGTTTCTTTCATGAATAAAAAGTATTCGTGTGATTTCCGAGAAATCGATTTCACTATTCTTAATGTCTTACACATTCTATTAAACAAAAGTGTATTGTGTTAATATGCACATTTGAGCAAGTTGATAGAATATCGATGGGGGCTATCTCTTTCTGTGTAATAATTTAGTATACTTCGAATTTCAAAGATAATTTTGATTGACAACTATTTTTTTTACCAAATTGCTATTATTAAAAAACACTCTTCGCTAATGTTTCACTGTTTAATATTCTTCTGATCCATTTGATTGACTTTTCAGGGTAAGGTTGATGATTTTTATTTTTCTTTGCTCCTCCTTTCTACCTTTTTTTTTCTGTTACATTTGCAATGATTTTATCTGTTGTTAGCATTCTTGTTTCTGAAATACCTACAATTTTGTAAGATACTAGTGAAAGGAAAAGAAAGGAAACGGAATACAATCAGTCATTATACACGTATATATTTATATATATACGTATTTAATACCAAAAGGAAGTGAAACCTTTAGAGAATTTGTTTTTGCTTATTTCAGGGTGTAGTTTGCCAAAAAATGTCTTCAAAGGCAAACGACAGCACCATACTTGCCAGCCGTCATGCGGCGTTGGATGGGATTGAATCCTTAATGGTCCTGAGTGATGGGTGGGTCACTCCCAATCGAGAAAAACACGCACGGCTTTCCCCATATCCTCTTGTAGGGGATGCAAAGGACTATCAGGATCCCAATATCGCCTACGGGCGTTATCCTTTTCAGATATCCGGCGGGGATTCCCATCATAAGCGGCTTCAGCAGTACTACGCGGAGTGTTTAGAGGTCGAAATAGGCAAGTTTTGGGGGCAACAAGATCAGGCCTGCCGGTTGCTATGTGAAGTGGCCTTACAAAAAGACCTGGCATTGCTGCGTGAACGCGAACTACGACAAAGAATATTTATTGAGCGAGAAGCCTTTGAGGGTTATCAGCGAATGATGGTGGTGTTTTGGGAGCAGAAGTTCCTCTTGCAAGAAATTTCATGGGGTGATGGGCTCCGCGCGGAGATGCGTCGTCGAACTATCACCGATGAGCAGCGCGAGCGAGAGGTGCTGAAGGCCCATCAGGAGGGCTTCGCTATCGCAGCGAATTTAATGAGCACCTTTACGGATACTCTCCACCATATCCTTGATAAGCGCAATTCTAAGGCTACCACAGTGGGAGCAAATTATTCCTCATCACCGTTAAATGAGTCTACACTCCAAAAGGCTTCGACTATAAAAGGCGGTGAGGCTAATGCGAATTGCTGCCCTTTAGCTTCCTCCCCAAATCAACCACCTCAGGGGAATGAAAGGGATGCTTATCCTTTCCTGAAGGAGCTTCCAACAATCATACGGGAAGCGGTAGAATCTGTGCTAAATGATAAGGAAAGAGATGCTTCACACTCTGCAGAACCAACTAAAGTTCTGGTAGAGCAACCTGCCGTACACACACACCCTTCGTCCATAACTAAACAAATTCTTTTATTTGAAAGGATACAAAATTTGCATGAAACCCACATCCAGTTGATATTAAATATATGCGATGAAAAGATGCGATGGGTCGTGAACAAAAGCCTAAGTCAATCAAATCTTTATGCAGAAACATTACAGCGGGGCCTTGATGTTCAAACGGCGGTGAAAGCGGTTGAAGTGAAATATCTTCAAGAAGAAATCCATAGGTTGCGATCCCAGCCACTTATAATGGAATCCCCTCAAAATTCCGCATTGGAAAAGAATCCTGAAGCTCAGACAAGAGTCTGTTCTGCAAATAACCCAAGTACCCTGCCATTTAAACATGAAACAAATTCGAAGGTAAATTCTTTGTCCATTCCGAGCGAATCCCTGCTTTTTAATTCCAACGCAGAGCCCTATATTCCGTTTTTAATGCGCAAATCTAAAAAGGTTGTCAAGCATTCTATTGAAAAGCTTCGTCAGGAAGCTATTCGCCTTGGTGTAAGGCCGGCCTGTGAAGACAATTCTACAACCAATAGTACACCATCACTTGCTTTTAATGAACAAAAAATGAGGGATAATAATGATATTCCTCGAGTAAACTCATCTTCCATTCAAAAAAGCTCCACCATCGCTCCGCTCAGGATAAAGTCCTTTGTAAAAAACCCCGAGGGGTCCTCGGACGATTCTGAGTTCACCCCTACTCCGCGATATTCAAAGGATAGCCCTTCTCTGGATAAGGTATCTAAGCAAAGTAGAGCTGGAGAAATTTCGGAGTGGTCTCATGCTCGCGATATCGCGCGGAAAGAATCATCGCTGGCGAATAAATCGTCTGTAAGTTCTCAAACACAGACTCAATTGAAGGTCAAGAAGCTGGTTAAACCCATTCCAGTGGAGCCAAACACCTTCGATAGTGATTTTGACAGTCATAACAATGATAGCAAGACCCTCAGCTCGCTTTCTCTTTCATTTGAAAATCAGGATGACATGGCAAGGAACGGAAATCTACACAAGTTTGATGTTACAATTATCGAGCAAAAAGCACAGTTTTCAGATTCAGTCATTAAAAGGGATAAGAATACGAAAGATCCTCGTCCTGAGGCCCTATCGGAGAAACCCAAAGTCAACCTTTTAACGGTGAAGCATATTCAGGAAACCCAACAATTGCAGGGTTTGATGTCGATATCTGAACGCCCTCCGGCGGGGTCGTTGAAAAATTTGCATCGGCATGGGCGCACCCTGAGTGATTCATCGATTTGGTCAGAGGATATCACTCTCACCTCCATCTCAACACAGGAAAATGGAACTAATAGTAAAAATGTAGGTGCTAATAATGTTGAAAAGGAACGATTACCTTGTGCAGAAGTGCCGTCATCAAAGCTAAATAGCATGTTAAAACGATCTAACGAAGGAAAAGATCCCCCTCCTCCTCCTCTTCCCCCTCCTCAGCGAATTATGAAATTCAGCTCATTCGATGACAGTGACGAAGATGATTAGTTAAGCGAAAAAGATTGTCGTTGTTTTTTTTGCTATTGATTTTAAATAGCTAAAAGGTAGTTTTCATCAAAGCGCAAGATTGTAATAAGGAGAATATTTATTTTTTCTCTGTAAGTCTTTCTTTCCGCTTTGAATGAAATCTCTTTCTCTTATCATAACCCTTTACTTATATTGATTGAATCTTAATGGCAACAATATATGGCACCATGTGATGCTATTTATTTAAAAGAAAATTTCGTATTACTCTGCTTGTACATTTAGCTTTTCATTAATATAAAAAAAAAAGTGAAGTTTTCATTTAGAAAGAAGTGCTTCTCTTTTTTTCTAGAAATTTAAATTCTTTTCACAATCCTACACGGTTTTTTATCATTTATATGTTATAACTGCAACAAGACTATTCATACGGTTTCTCTATGTATTGCACATTTATTATTGAAATCGAGATGCTTTTCTAATTTTATACTATTCCCCCTATTTCTAAAAAAATCTAATAAGCTTAATGAAAGATTCTTTTTTTTCTTATTAAATAATCCAGGGTCAACGGCTTTTGAAAAGATTCTGAATAAATAAATAGACATAACTATCTATTTCTATCTCTCGATCTATAGACAGATATAGATATAAAGTGTAAAGACCTTTGTCTTCTGCGTTGGGGCACGACCGCAAGCGCGCGTTTTGTTGCCGGCCGTGTCATCTACGGAGCCGATTGTGCGTTGTGCGCCGTCTTTACTGGCATTGAACCGACCGGTAAATCGGCCCCCGTCGGCCCCCATTCCACCCCAAGGCGGGATGCGTTGGCGCTGTAATATGTCGACCGCGGTGGAGGCGATCACCCTGTTTACCGTGGTCTGCGCCAGTGCGGTGTTTTGGCTGTCCTGGATGGCCCACACCGACGAGAGCCTGCTTTACGGCACCTTGTCCGCCCATCGGGTCTACGCCAACGGCGATGCCGAATGGATTCAGGCGGTCCTCGGGGTCGACAGCCGTCCGCCCCTTTTTCCCCATCCATCCGCCAACGCGACGGAGGGAGGAGGGGGGGAAAGGAAGGAAAAGGAAGGGACCGACGCCTCGGTGAATCGCCGCCGTCGGTCTCTTCCCCTGGCCGCGGTGGTGGTCGTCCCCCCCAGTCCTTCCTCGAGTGGGGGCGCCGCCGCCGCGCCGGATTCTCCCCTTTCCGAGGCCGCCCAACGGCGCCTGCTCCTGGGCTACCGAACGGCCCTCCTGACA